TTGCACGATATTCTAATTTTTCGAGTTTCACCTGTAAGTTAAACAAAAACCTAGCACTCTTTTGGAATGTGATTTACAGAGAAGAGGGATGTCCAACTCAACTTTATCTATCCATACCAGTTATGAAAATATCTAAACATTACTATATAAAGAAAACAAATGTTGCCTGCATCCTGATGTATATTTGAAGTCCCCAGGGATTATTTTGTGTCTTTCTTTACTATTTGGAAGATATCATGGAACAGACATCTGTATGAAAAAGAAGAACCAAGATAAACACGCACACATAAATCAGGAAACAAATACAGGGAGTCCCCAGGTTAAGAATGCCCAGTTTAAGGACAACCCATAGTTAAGAATGGAGCCTATTGTAGCAAAATTCGAATTAAATACACAATGATTTGAGTTAAATACACAATACTGCTTATGCAGTATTATACTAATAATATGGCGTACATACAAATTTGACTTACGGACAGACCTTGGGAATGGAACTCGTTCTTAAACTGGGGACTACCTGTATTCCAATATATTACAGCATTTGCATGTCTTAACATTTCTCTACCTATTTTCATTCTTTCCAGATATACAAATTCATCTAGGTTTTTCCCTTTGCCATTTTTTGCCATTTGCAATCACGTGTTCCATTTTCCCTGTCAAACACAACTATCTTGGTATTTGATACATTGATTTTCACATGTTTGTTTATTGCATTGTAGAATCTAACATTTGGAAGAAATCACTTAGGTTCTTAGCCAGAAACAAGGCATCATCTGTATATGAAATTACAGATACATTCACATCCCCACTTCTTACAACACCACAAACATTCCTCATATGTTTCTCTATAAATACATTAAACAACCTTGGGGGCATCATACGTCCCTGCCTTACTCTTTGCTCAGGGTCAAACTGTTCACTAAATACAGTGGTACCTCGGTTCACGAATGCTTCTGTTCACGAACAATTCGGGTCACGAACAGCTCCATTCGCAAAATTTTGCCTCCGTTCGCAAACGCCGGATCGGGTTACGAACAGGATCCGCGGCCATTTTCCCTCCCGTGACACGTGGTCGTGGCTTCCTGTAGGAAGGAGGACTCTTCCTCCAAGCAATATCCGCCTCCCCGCCCGCCTTCCTGTCCTCCACGCCAGAAGTCGCGTCGAGCAAGGCTAGTGTTCTCTCTCTTCGTGCTGTACTTTGTATCATATTTTTGCGGTTTAAAAAAAACAAAACATATGGTTCAGAACGGATTAACCATAATTACATTGAACCTTATGGGGAAAT